GAGTCCTAAAAACTATTAAAAGTGCCTTTGGTGTTGTTTTCTCTTGAGATGGAACATTGAGTGTAAGTGTTTGGGAGAGATTGTGGGAGTGAAGAGTGAGAGATCAAGTGAGGGGTTTGTGAGGGATTCACAAGGTTACTTGAAGAAGAAGATCTCTTTGTTTCAGCCCATCTCCTCTGAAGGCTCTCAAGTGAAGTTCAACAACATCGGCCCGGTTCTCTGCCGACACTTGGAGAGTGTAAAAGGACGACAAAGTGTATCTTTGGCAGCCATTGTGTCTTCGTTCTTTGGGAGAAAACTAGAAGAGAGAACTTGAAAGGGAGAGAGGAAAGGGTAGAGTTTGAGAGGGAGAAGATCCTTGAAGGGAATTTCAAGGGAGTGTGGAGGGGATATTCACACGGTTGCTCCGGCAAACTTGCACTTCAGTACCATCGGAGTTGCGAGAAGAAGATATCTTTAGTGTCACAAGAAGTCAGCTACTCGCGACCGCACCAGGAAGAGTGAAGGTGATTTTTTACAGGCTCTCGCCCTGCCTGTGCGGTAAAAGGCGCCTTGCTGTGGGGGAAAAAGGAGAGTCACTTTGTGGTATTAGTGCAATACTCGGAGGGTGCCTCCGGGGAGTGGACGTAGGTCAAGGTTTGACCGAACCACTATAAATCTGGTGTGTTCTTTCTTATTTTTCTTACGCATTTAATTTTATTGCAAGTTGTTTACTCTGGTTGAAAAGTTTATTTTTTAAACTTTAAATTAAACTTGCATTAATAATTAAAAAGGTTTTCTAAAAATCCAAGAGTAGAAGTATAATTTTTTAAATTACCAATTCACCCCCCCCCCTCTTGGTTAGCCTTGGGACATTAACTTAGGTCTAAAAAACTATTCACTAGACTCAACAATGTTTACCATTGGCAAGAGCTATTTATGTTATATATCCTATGATGTCCTTGACATGGACGTTTATCACATCATACTAGGAAGACCTTGGCAGTATGATACGGGAGCTTTCCATGACGGCCGAGCCAATACATATACCATTGATTGGAAGGGAAGAAAAATCAAGTTAGTTCCAAATAACCAATTCGGTTGCAAGCAGCCTTCTAATAATCTGGTTGCTGCCAATGTCATCACGGGACACTCATTACTTCAAATAAAAGAAGAAAGTAGTCAGATTTTTGCTCTCATTACGGGAGATGTTGTAACATGTCCAGCTCCCATCATTCACAAAGATGTCCAGATTCTACTAGATTCATTTCAAGATGTTATGGCCTCCGAACTGTCTTCATCCTTGCCACCGTTACGTGACCTATAACATCAAATTGAATTCATTCCTGGTGCCGCCTCCCCAACTTACCAAATTACAGGATGAGTGTAAAACCCCTCAAAAGCTATTTTTTTAGTGCTGTTAGTCCCAAACGAACTGGCCTTAGTCCCGGACGAACTGAAGAAAATTATAAAGAATCTGTCAATTTCGTCTGTACGAACCTGGAAGGGTCGGGACGAACCGTCGGGATGAACCAAACAGAGAGTTTCGTCCAGGGGCGAAGAAATTGGAATTTATTTTCATCTGGACGATTTGAGTCCAGAGATGATCGTCCCGGGAAGAATAGGGACATCGTCCAGGACGATCTTGCTTAATAAATATCTAAATGGTGTCATTTTTGAAGAGAGAAAAAGTCCAGGAGAGAGAAAACAATTGAAAGAGGAAGAAAAGTGGATTTTCGAGCGACTTCAACTCATTTCCGTTCGTCGTCGTAGTTGGAAAAGTTGATCGACTCGAGGTAAGGCACATTCTGCATTTCTCAATTTTCAGAAATGATAATTTTGACTACTTTTCTATTCCAGATTTTATTTCCGTTAGCGAATTTCTGGTATTATTTTCTTCTGACAAAGGTATTACCGCATAAATTTTGGTATGTTTTTGAGATGATAATTATGCATATTTTGAGTATGTTCTGGAAGATTTTACCTGGTATTTTGAATTCTACTAAGTTTTATTCGAATAATAATTTATCTGGATGTATGATATTATTACTTCTGTGCAGTAAAAGTCTTATAATGTTATTGTGGATATTCTGTAATAATTTGGTAAATTTCTGAATCTGTGAATTTTGTGTAAATTCTGTATACTGTCGTTATGCCGTTGATTTTTCGTACGAATTCTGATTTTTCTGAATTGATACATTGAATGAATTGAAGTGTTTGTATGCTATCAGAAGGGAGTAATAAGGAGCCAGGATCCTTTGAGATTTTGTAAGTGTCAGGAAAATCTGAAATGAGTTCTAAAATCTGAAAATAAGCTATGTTCCGGAAATTTTGTATATCTGTTCTGTCCCGGCGCTATAAGCACAAAGGGAGACATAATGGGCCAGAATCCGTCAAGATTCTGTAAGTGTCAGGGAAGGGAGACATAAGGGATCAGAATCCGTAGAGATTCTGTAAGGGTCTGGGAATCTGAAATCTGATATGTGATATGTTATCTGAAATCTGATGTTTGATATCTGATAATCTGTACTGTGACTTATATGATCTGTTTTATAAATTATCTGATTAGAATTATTTGATATGAATGTGATTTTATCTGATTTTTGTACGATTCTGATTATTCCGTACGATTCTATCTGCTCTGTGACTTGAAAGCTTTATGATATTTGTTCTGAACTCCGATTTGACATGACTTAAGTTTTCTGTATCAGTTGTTTGATTTCTGTTGATCAAGTATCTTTTCTATGATTTTCGTACAACTATTTTCTGATGTGAATTTCTGATGATTTAGATTGGTGAGTGATGTCTTGCTGAGCTATGTTAGCTCATCCTTGTTTTCTACGTGGTTTTCAAGTTCTGGGAAAGGGAAGGAGGTCTTGGACTAGAAGTTCTGTGTCTGATCTGAGATTAGGTATTTTGTACTTTGGATTTTGTACAGTCATGAATTTTCTATTCTGTTATGTTATTTCTGTCTGAAGCCATGGATTATATTGTACATGATTGTTTTGATGAAAGAAAAAAATATAGATGAACTGTTCTGTATTTGGATGATTATAGTAGCTCTGTGTTTTTCTGTCTATTTAATATTTGGAAGAAAGTTCTGAAGCAAATTCTAAAGCTAGATCATGGATTTCAAGTTATAGTTCCAACGCGGCCCGATGCGAGCGGGATCTGTCCCGGTCGGGTTGGGTCGTGAAAATGAGCCCCCGTGAGCATGTGATCCTGCAGGAGATAATTCAAGACCTGCTACAAAAACAATTCATTCAACCCAGCATGAGCCCGTGTGCCGTCCCTGTGCTAATTGTTTCGAAGAAAGATGGACAGTGGAGGACGTGCTTAGACAATAGAGCCATCAACCGTATTACCGTCAAATAAAGATTTTTGATATCGCGAATCACTGATCTTCTTGACAGACTTCACGGCTCTAAGGTATTCTCCAAGTTAGACTTACGGAGTGGGTACCACCAGATCCGAATTCATCCCGGGGATGAATGGAAGACGGCGTTTAAAATAATTGAAAGGTTTGTTCGAGTGGAAAGTTATGCCTTTTGGGCTCTCCAACACACCGTCTACCTTCATGAGGCTAATGTATGAAGTCCTTAAACCATATTTAGATAAATTTTGCATTGTCTATTTTGATGATATTTTGGTGTATAATACTTCTCTTTCAGCTCATCTTGCTCACCTGAAGTCAATTATGGAGGCCCTTCGTCAGCACCAACTCTTCGTCAATTTGGCAAAATGTCATTTTGCCATGGACAATGTTCATTTCCTCGATTTTGTGCTTACACCTGAGGGTGTCCAGACAGCTCCCCAGAAAATTGAGGCCATACGTGGCTGGCGGACTCCGAAGACCATAACGAAAGTCAATAGCTTTCATGGCTTGGCGAATTAATATCGTCGGTTCATAAAGGGATTCAGCAACATTATGGCCCCCATCACTAACTATTTAAAATTCCCCACCCTAGCTTGGTTCCTAGCTTGGTTTGCGGCTCAACAGAGGAGTTTCGAGAAGATCAAAGCTGCTCTTAGTTCGGCTCCCGTATTAGCTTTCCTAGATTTTGTCAAATCTTTTCAGGTTGACATGGATGCGTCCGCGGTGGGAATTGGAGCCGTCTTATCTCAGGATGGGAGATCAGTTGAATATTTTAGTGAAAAGTTAAGCCCGCAACGACAAAGATGGTCTGCATACGAACAAGAGCTATATGCCATTGTTCGTGCTCTCAAACAATGGGAGCATTACCTCTTACATAAGGATTTTATTCTATGTAGTGACAATCAAGCATTGCAATATATCAACAATAAAAAAAAAATAATCGTATGCATGCCAGGTGGATTGTATTCTTTTAAATATTTAGCTTTGTGATCAAGCACAAGGTCGGCAAGAGCAATCGTGTTGCGGACGATTTGAGTAGGCGCTCAACACTTTTAATACATCTTCAAACAGGGATAACAGGACTGCAACAATTAAGGGACTTATACCAAGGTGACAAAGACTTCTCATTAATCTAGAATACTTGTATTGCAGGTCAGCCCCTACGGGATTTTTCTGTGCATCAAGGCTTCGATCTTATTCAAAGGGAATACACTATGCATTCCAGATTCTTTATGGCGCCCGCAATTGATTCGTGAGTTACATAACGGATGCCTATCAGCCCACTTGGGGCGGGATATAACGTTGGAGCAAATTCAAGCTCGCTTTTACTGGCCGCGGGTACGCAGTGATGTCACCAGATTCATTGAGAAGTGTTATGTTTGCTAAATGTATAAAGGAACAACCCAGAACACCGGACTCTACATGCCGTTACCTATACCTGAATCCATTTGGGAAGATTTATCTCTTGACTTCGTGTTGGGATTACCACGTACAAAGCGTGGCTCAGACTCCATAATGGTGGTCATGGATCACTTCTCCAAAATGGCGCATTTCATCCCGTGCAAAAAGACATTTGATGATGTACGCATTGCGAGCATTTTTTTTTAGAGAAATTGTAAGGCTACATGGGTTACCCCGAAGCCTCATGTCGGACCGCGATGTCAAGTTCATTAGCCATTTCTGGAGGGATCTATGGAAAAGGTTGAATACAGAACTCAAGCTGAGTTCTGCGTACCACCCGCAAACTGATGGACAGACGGAGGTAGTTAACAGGACACTTGTAAATGTGCTCCGCTGTTTGGTGCAGGATAATCCGAAGAGATGGGAAGACATGCTTAGTCAAGCCGAGTTCGCTTACAATTCTATGTCTAATAGATTAACGGGCCAGAGCCCCTTCCAGGTGGTGTACACCAAGTTGCCTAATCAAATGGTAGATCTCGCAATCCTTCACAAGGTCTGTCCATCCGCTGCTAGCAAGACCGCATCGAAAGTCATAGAAACTCTGAAAACGGTGAAAGCCAACTTACAGCAATCTGCTTTAAAATACAAACAAAATGCTGACATTCATAAGCGATACAAATCTTTCTCAAAGGGAGAACTTGTCATGATAAGGATGCGCAAGGAACGTTACCCACAAGGAACATATTCTAAATTAAGTCCCCGGAAATTGGGACCCTTCTCCATCCTTCACAAAATCAATGATAACGCATATGTGATAGATCTACCTCCCGATATACATACTTCACCTACATTCAATGTCGCTGATATATATATAGCTATCATTCGCGAGATAACACACCTATGGTGGAAATCTCGTCGGAGTCGAGCTTCTCGGAGCTGGGGGAGATCTGATGTGGCTATCCGCATCATTCCGTTTCCTGTAGCCAGATATGCCACACTACCTCTAACAACCCACTATCTTGACTGCTACTTTTACCTTTTTTTGCATTAGCTTACTGTTCTTTTTTTTATAGTTTGCTTACCCCTAATATGGTAATTAGCACTAGCCATAGTAGCATAGTTATGTACAGTAATTAACGAAGAAGAAAGGTAGAATATGATAGTATTCTTCTTCCAGGTTTGTCATTCCCGAGTATTTGTTGTTCTGATTTCAGCCTCACTGTGTAACGTATTCCTCAAAATTATTGCCAAGATTCTTGCTTGTAGGCTCAAGCTAATTATGCCTGAGATCATCCACCCTAGCCAGGCTGCCTTTGTTGCTAATAGAGTTTCATCGGACAACACTATCCTTGCGGCTGAGGTTCTTGGTTTCATCACGAAGAATTGTAAGGAGAAATTTTTTTGTGCTAAATTTGACATTAAGAAGGCCTTTGACACGGTGTCTAGGGAATTCCTTTTTAAAAGGTTGGAACAAAAAGGGATTCCTATGTTATTTATTCAGTGGATCAGAGCTTGTATTAGTGACATTAATTTCTCTATTTGCATTGACGGGGGACTTTATGGATTTTTTGGCTCCTCCTCTGGTATTCGGCAAGGCTGCCCTCTAAGTCCATTTCTTTTCTGTTTCGTAATGGATGCCTTATCTTGCCTTATTGAAGGGAACAGTTCTCCGAACACATTCCAGGGTTTTCAATTCGGTGAATTTCAGCTTACTCACCTGACTTATGCTGACGACTTATTGATTTTTGGTAAAGCCGAAACTCAGAACTGCAATAATCTTATGAGCATTCTCCAAACCTTCTCCTCTTGTTCTGGCCTTTTCCTCAATCTCAATAAAAGCTCCCTTCTCATTTCTCCCACTGCATCTCATCTATCTGCCATCTCCCTTGCCCTTCAAATTCACAATTGCTCCACCACCATTTCCTACTTGGGTCTTCCCATCTCCCTGGGGAGAACCAAGCTATCCGACTTCTCTCCACTTACTGAAAAAATTACTAACCTGCTTTCTGGATGGAAAGCAAAGCTTCTTTCTTTTGCAGGTAGACTTCAATTCATCAAATACACCATTACCAATCTTGTGGCTTATTGGGTGAGAGGCGCTTTAATCCCTAAAACTATTATTAAAGCTATTGATAAAGCCTGCTCCAAGTTCCTTTTTCAGAAGGGAGATCAGTCTAAACGTCTTCATCTTATCTCTTGGAAACATACTACTATGCCTCATGCCAATGGTGGCATTGGTATTGCCTCTCTTCAAGCTCTAAGATCCGCCTATAACTGTGTCACTATTCTCAGGATGTATAATCAGGATTCTCAGCTTTCCAATTGGCTTAAAATTAGATACAATTCTCCATGGAAACCTCCAAATCGTAATTGCTCAGCTTTCTGGAAGAATATTCAAATGACTGCCTCTTGGTTCAAGCACAATTTTAAGTTTAATGTTTTGGTTAATAGCCCCATTGCCATCTTCTGGGATCACTGGTGTCCTCACGGCTCTTTTACAGATTCCTTCCCAGATTTCCCCCTTTCATCAGTCAATGCTGAATCCCTCAATCTCGCTACTTGGATGTGTGAAGACTCCTGGGCTCTTCCTAATTTCCTCAATCAAAATATTGTGGAGTTCTTTACTTCTATTCCCATATCTGTTAGTAATACCAAGCACATTACTTGGGAAAACAAGGAAAATGCATCATTTAAGGATTTCTATAGGGAATTCTTCTGTCATGAATATGTAGTTGATTGGGCTTCGCTTGTTTGGCACAAGAAACACTCCTTGAGACATTCGGTTTATTCCTGGTTGGCCCTCTCTAACGGCCTTAAGACTTCAGAAAATTTGCACATTAGGAAGGTTATTACAGAGGATTTTTTATGCCCCTTGTGTCATCAAACCCCAGAAACCACTGCTCACCTTTTGTTTGAATGTGACTACTCCTTTACTGTCCTCACGAAGGTTATCCCAAAGATGAATTGTTTTCTATTCAGACCTAATATGGGCCAAGCTCTTCAGTATATAGATGGGTTGGATGTGAACAGGGACTTGAAGTCCGTTGTTCTGTTGCTTTTCAATATTGCTGTTTACGTTATTTGGACTGAGAGGAATGATAGAATTCATAAAGCGACCTTTTCTTGTGCGGTCTCTTTAGCAAAAAAAATTACTAGAATTGCTTATGTTAAACTGGACAGCTGGAAAGGAGGAAAGGCTATCAGGGAGAAACTTTTCATTTATTATAACTAGATTCATGTTGGCTTCAATGTCACTATGGTTCGGCTTCATTTTCGGGCTTGGGGGAATGCTGTGTTGTGGTGGTCTTGGGTTATGCTATTTCTATTCGGGTTTTTATGATTGGCTTTGCCTTTTTATGATATTGGGAAAGTTTCTAACCACTATTGGGAAGGTTTTTTGGTCAGTGAGATTAGGATATTATCAGTCTAAGTTGGGTAAAGCTGAAAATGTTATCAATTCTGCTTTTTTTTCTGTGGCAATTCCGTGCTGGTTCGAATGGTGTATGGCAGGTTCCTAAATTCTATATGATAATTGTTGGTGGCATCTCTGTTTGCTGCCCAATTTCATCAAGACGCTGCTGCTTCGTTGCCGACAAGGGGTGCCTTCTTCACTGGCAGGTTTTTTGGGCCGTGGACGATGATGATACCTGCCTCTCCTTTTGGATGGTCTACGGGCAACCAAAGGAGAATGATCACAATGATTTATAATTTTCTCTGAGTCCCGGCCAGACAGTTTTTCCTGTCTGTTTTTGGGTTTCTTTTCTAGTTTTTCCTTTATGAAGATCACATGTAATTTTTTGCTTTTACAATTTTGCTGCTTGCTTTATTTTTTCTGGCAAGCATTTTTGTAATCTTTTTCTTTTTAATAGAATGGGCTAAGCCCTCAATTTACCCCAAAAAAAAAAAAAATGCAGACACGTGAATGCTGCTTTTAAGAAAAAAATAATTAAAAAAGGTTAGTAGGTGAAGCAACGCTAAATGAGCTCTGCCACTTTCATGAAGAGAAGCAACATTTTATATTTCAATTATTGTTTCTGTACATATTTCAATCATTTCAAAATTTTCATATCTGCCCAACCCCAAACTGTAAATCTTTTGTTATTAAATATTAAAATTTTCAAAATAAATTTTTCAAAAGCCAAAGTGTCTGGACTATCATATGAGCAAACAGGAGCTGGATTCTCTGTAGGTTTACACTGAGAGATGAATAACTGTCACACATATTTCAAGTTATTATCAGAAAAATAATTTTTTTTAACTATTATGAATATATATAAGCCTAATAATAATTTTCTTTTAATAACTGCCACACATATTAAGAGATCTAATTGTAACAAGCTGCTTTAAACAACAAAAAATTCTAAAAAACATTGAAAAAGAAGCTAAAAGCCATAGTTAAATAAAAGTATAATTGCGGTCTGAAAAAAAAAAAAAACGAAAAAACTGTCCGAAATACTCCTTTGTTGCATAACAAATGTAGTGTGGCAAGGTAGTTAAAAGGCTTGCAACAAGTTGTACATTAGGATACTAAGCAAGAAGATTAATTCTATAGATCATCATTAGCATTGTATTCCATTAAAAACAACTTGAGCAAGTAATTTTGATACATAGTTAACTTCTGATTTAAGAAAACATTAATCCCTTTGCAGTCAACTTCGATCCCAAGAAAATAACAAAGCATTCTTGGATTATAATTACCTTTCTTTGGGCACAAGAGCACGAGTCTCGTAGCAAGATCAGGAAGACCTTCAATCATTAAGGATTCATTTGGGACGAAATTTTTGTTATTTTTTAAAATTGTTTTTCAATACAAATATTTCTTCAACTAGATAGAACAAATAAATGCAAGAAGAAGAGAGTAGAAAAAGATAGAGAAGAGATGAAGAAGCTATTGCCACAAAAAGTAAAAGAAATAAGAAGTTTTAGCTGTCTCAGTAGAGAAGAAAAAGAAGATCGAGATGAAGAGGTAGAGAAAAGAAAGAGATGGCGTAACCTCTCACAGTAAAAAAGAAAATGAGTAAGTAGAAGGATCATTAAACCTTTTTTCTCCATATCCAACCTTCATATTTAAGAGGGATTATTACGTGCGTTCACCGGACCGTCCGGAGGGTAATCAGTATGCGCCACATCAAATGATACACAGCTGTACACAGTAAGTTGTACACATATATTGGTGAATGAAGAACAACAACAGGCGGAGAAGACAGAGAACAGGAAGAAAGAGCAGAGTAGAAAGAAATATTTTATTCAGCTTCATCACGGATTACAAGTAGTCCTATATATATAGATGTCTAGGAAAGTATTTACAAGACAACCAATGAGTACAGGACAGCTCATTAATATTTAATTATTTACATATAAATTGAATGCACTTATACCGCCATGCAAACTAATGGATCGGGAAATACAGTTAGTTTGCTTCGTAGAAGAAGGAATCGCGGCGTTGATAGTGCTTTAGTAAAGATGTCCGCGATCTGATCTGTAGTATTGATAGGAAGAAGCCGTATCTGATTTGTGTAATTGTGATCGCGTATAAATTTTTGATCTATTTCGATGTGTTTTGTACGAGCCTGAAAAACTTGATTGTTGGCGAGTGCAATCGCCGATGTGTTGTCACAGTACATGTCTGTGGGTTGAGTCTGAGTTATATCAAAGTCTTGAAGAATTCGACAAAGCCATAGAACGTCCGCAGTAAGAGCTGCTAGAGCCCGATATTCCGATTCTGTTGGTGATCGGGCTACTGTATGTTAATTTTTCATGGTCCAAGTGATTAGTTTATCACCAAGAAATGAGCAGTAGCCGGATGTGGATCGTCGAGAGACAGGATCTCCGGCCCAATCTGCATCGGAAAAGGATTGAAGAGAAAGATTAGATTTTAAGATTGGTAAACCGTAATCGAGCGTACCTTTGAGATAACGAAGTAGTCGTTTGAGCAAGTAGGTATGCTGTGGAAGCGGCTGGTGCATGTGTTGCGACAGCTGGTTTACACTATAAGCGATGTCTAGTCTTGTGATCGTTATATACTAGAGTGATCCAGTGAGCTTGCGGTAAGTATTCAGGTCAGAGAGCACAGAGTCTGGCGGGTAGATTTGCGGCATTTTTGTGCAGGAGGGATTGAACAATTAATTGAATTGAGTTAACTGTGCTTGCTGTAGAAGATTAGAGTCATATTGTTGTTGGGAAAGGAAAAACTTATCTCCATATCTTGAAATTTTCATGCCAAGAAATTTGGTTGCTTGACCGAGATGCTTCATAATAAATATGCTGTTTATTTTGGATATAATATAATCTATGGTATTTTGATCATTTTTGGTAATTAATATGTCGTCTATGTACATAAGCAAGTACAATTGTATGGACTGTTGTTTGAAAATAAGAAGCGAAGGATCTGCATTGCTATGAGTAAAACCAATAGAGACAAGATAGGAAGTAAAGGTATTGTACCACTGTCGTGGTGCTTGCTTAAGTCCATAAATGGACTTGTGAAGGCGGCATACGTGGGTCGGATGTCGTGTATCCTCGAACCCTTTGGGTTGGACATGTAGACGGTCTCCGATAGGTTACCATGAAGGAATGCATTGTCGACGTCCAATTGATGAACCTGCCAATCATTGTGTAAAGCTATAGTTAGTAATATACGGATTGTGGGAAGTTTTGCTACGAGACTAAAAGTCTTCGTATAATCGACGCCGTATTCCTGATGGTTGCTGAGAGCCACAAGTCTTGCTTTGTGTTTGGTAATGGTATTGTCGGAGTTGAGCTTTAATCGGTAAGTCCATTTGCAGCCCAAAATTGGCGCATCTTTTGGAGGCAAGACAAAGCTCCATGTGCCTTGTTGTTGAAGGGCAAGAAACTCTAAAGCCATAGCATGAAACCATTCGGGGGATTTGTTGGCTTCTGTGAAAGTGTTTGGTGTAGCAGAGAGACCGGTGGGAGCGGTGGTATGGCACAAATTGAGACGAACCTGAGGTTTAAGGTGGCCAGTTTGAGTCCTGGTGACCATAGGATGGTGAGGTGTTGGAGTAGGTGACCTCGGTGTAGAGCTGTTTAGTGAGGGTGGAAGTCGAATGGCATGACTGATCGAGGCTGGATTGTGACCACATGTAGGCTGAGGAACTATGGAGGGCTGGGCTAGCATTGGTTTGATGGGAGGGTAGGAGACAGAGATTGGTGTAAGGAAAAAAGGAAAGGGGTCAACAGACGGTTGAGAGGAGGTTGTGGGTTGTTGTTTGAAGGGAAAGATAGTTCGTCAAAGGTTGTGTGGCGAGAGATCAAGATTTTATTGGTGGATTTGTCAAGGCATTTGTAGCCCTTGTAGGTGTCCGAATATCCAAGGAAAACACAGCATTTAACCTTGGGTTGTAATTTGTTATTTGAGTGCGGTGGTGAAAGAGGAAAACAAGCACATCCGAAGACACGAAGATGATTATCTCGGGTTTAGTATTGTGTAGAATTTCAAAGGGAGACAGATGACGAGTGACAGGGTGAAGGCATACGGTTAATAAGGTAAGCAGAGTCAAGACTGCTTCAGGCCAATGGATGTAAGGAACGGAGGACGTGTGGAGTAAGGTCCGAGTCGTCTCAATAAGATGCCTATGCTTACGCTCGACGACCCGTTTTGTTCCGGAGTGTAAGGGAAAGACACTTGATGTTGAATGCCGTTAGTTAGGAGGAATTCTTGGAAATGCTGATTGACGAATTCCATTCCACCATTTGTACGAAAAACTTTAATAGATTTTGAGGTATATTTCTCAATCTGAGTTTTAAAATTGCATAATTACTAAAAACTTCAAATTTGTTTTTCATAGGGAAAAGCCACGTGAATCGTGAAAAATCGTCAATAAAAAGAACGTAATAACGAAATCCTTGAAACGAAGTTATGGGAGCCGGTCCCCAAATGTCCGAGTGAATTAAAGACATCAAAGAATTAGAACGGTGAGCAGTTTTAGGAAACACAAGTTTGTGACTCTTTGACATTTTGTAAGAATTACAAACAGACATTTCTAAAGTTATTTTAAGCTGCGAATTATTTGCAGAAATAATATGAAGAATCTTTTGATGTGGATGTCCAAGACGTGAATGCCAGGGGGATGTGTGCACAGCCGAGAGAGCTGTGTACGGGGCCAATGATTGGCTAGTTCGAATTGGGTAAAAACTGTTGGTGCACGGACCTTGTAGAAGCACTTTCTTCATCGTAAGATCCTTAAAGACAAAACCAGATGGGTTAAACGA